ATGGTAAGAAGAACCAAAGACCAACACTACTCATCCATATGGGTATCATTAAGATATTTAACAGTACTACTACCGATACCACTTATTAATCTGGCACTCTACTACTGTTGGTTGTTTTAGTTATTTTTTTAAGTAAAAACAAAGTAATAACAGAATTAACATGTCTTTATTTTCTGATTTTTATTTTCCCATATTTACCATTAACATTCTTGAGTAGCAAACTGCAGCAGCACTGTTCTGAACAAACCACTAGACTATAACGTCATTTAAAAAAAACTGAAACTGAACACAAGACTTTTTCTTTGACACTACTTACTGTATGTTCGTATGAGTTAGTTAACCCTGTGCGCTTAAATACATAACATACCTGGACAAGGAGAGAAGCTAGGAGCTCGTCAGTGGGGAAACTGCGTTTCTCTGTGATGGACTTTCACTAGATATTTCAACAGATTGCTGGTGTTTCACCCTTACAAACAAAGACTAGAAGCAAACAGTGGTGTGGACAGGAAATGTTAGATTTATTAGGGTGAGTTTATAACCAGTGTCATCTGCCGTAAAGTCCTGTGACAAGCAAGACAAAGATCCACAGTGAAGAAACTTTCAGCAGCGTCATAAATAAACAAGGTCATAGCCAGTCAATTCTGAAACATAGGTTGCATGTTGACCCCACCAGCTGTGGTATGGATACAAACACAGCTAGCGTAACAAGTAACACCTGCCATAAGCTGTCACTCTCAGAACACACAGGTGTACAGCACCGCAGGCAGGAGGACTGTCACCTACTGCACATTTTCATTAATGATTACTTTGCTGATTCTTTTCTAGAGCTTTAATTTGGTCCATAAAATGTCAGTAATAACGAGAAATGTCCATAACATCTTCCCAGAGTCCAACGTGATGTCTTGAAATGTTCCGCTTTGTCTGACAGTGGATGACCCATATTCATAGAGCAAATCCCCATGTTTACAAACTGAGACTGCCACGTTTTCTTACAATTTGTGCTTGGAAAACGACTGACATGATTCATTTATCATTGTAGTTGCTGATTCATTTTCTGTTGCTCCACTAATCAAAGAATTTGTGAGTTGTTTAGACAGCAGTGACCTGGGAAAATACTCCATCAGACACTCACAATAAGCACAAAATACATTTGTACCACTTGACTGAAAGTTATTTCTGCCTGAGGACTGAGGATGTGGGGTCACAGGGCTGCAGTCGCACCAGTTTCCCCTGCTACTGTTTGTATTTCCAGCCCAACCCTCTCTGGATGGAAATCAGCCCCACATGTACAGTCGCGACAAACATTCTTTATTTCTCTCTGAGCAAGTACATTTACATGTGTGTGTGTGTGTGAGTGTGAGAGAGAGAGAGAGAGAGAGAGAGAGAGAGAGAGAGAGAGAGCAAGTCTCAATGTGACCAAACAATTCAACAGCTTCAGTAACAAGCCCTCAGGAAGCAACAGACTCTACAGGCCGTTAAAAATGGCTGTCTGTGCAGACTGTCATGCTGTAATCACGTCTCAGTCTTTGCAAACTGCTCATATATCTTTTTTTCTTTGAAAAAGAAGAGGACAACAATGGTGCGAACACAGACTGTAAGAAAACAATGGATGTGTCACCTCTGACATTTCTGTTTGTATCTTATAAGTTAGTGGACCCAAAACCAGGAGCAGTAGACAGAGCCTGATGGATTCAAGCACCAACAAGCCAGCACAGCTGACTGTCATAAGCTGAAACACAGCTCAAAACATACACCCCCTGGAGCCATTTTCTTAAGGGAACAATAATTTTCCTCATCACTGCTGAGACTTACATTGGATGAAGTCAAATAAGCAACTAAGACCTCTTGACTTCTTGCTGAAAATATGTTCAGGCTCAACTGATCTCAGTCACACAGTGCAAAAAAACTGAGATTGTACTGTACACTGGCTTCAGAGAGGATCAGAGCACTTCACTTTTTGCAGGAAACAGGTGGACGGGAAACAGGGGAGGCAGAGAGACATAGAGAGAAGAGAGAGAAAGAGAGAGAGAGAGAGAGAGAGAGAGAGAGAGAGAGAGAGAGAGAGAGAGAGAGAGAGAGAGAGAGAGAGAGAGAGAAGGCATTTGGACTTAGACCATAAACACTGCACGCACATTGTTTGTGGTGCTCCACCAAAACCACCATCAGGGAGCCCTGTGTGGCAGTGCATCCAGTTTTTTAGAACTTTTAACAACCAAAACACACAGCTACATGCAAGAACATATTGATGAGACAAGTCCTCCAAACTATATAACCCATGAACTGTTTAGCGTTTGTCCCGTCTCTCTCATACAACCCACAGGACCATCTCCTGCAATAGCGCCACTAGAGTGCGAGGCGGAATTGAAAGGCCACCAACGTATGTCACAATAGCGAGCTTAACAAGGTTTCATCATCATGGAAACAGTCACATCATAACAGCAAACGAAGTGCAACTCCGTGGCCATGGAAACTGCCATAAACATGCTGTTACGAGGACGCACATTAGATATGAGTATACTGTTCTGATCTGACAGCTCTGGGCATCAGCATTTTAAATGTCAACAAGAGCCACCATATTTACCCCTTACAATATTAATTCTTCAGCCTTCTTAAAAATACAATGCTTCCCCCAAACCCCCCCACTGGGTCTCCACACTTCTCACATTCAGTGCTCTTTCATGCACAGTAAAGGTCTGTGACAGAGAGCACTTACTGCCCAGGGTAAAATCTGTCAGGCAGCAGCTTCTCCTTACAGCCTTATATCACCTCAGATCAGGACAGGGAACAGACAAACTGCTTCCTGGAGGTACAGTCAATGGAATCATTTGACCAACTTGTGGTGAAGTTGAAAAACAAATAGGTGTAAAATGCTATAAGAGAACTGACATGCAAACACAGCTGGCCTTACCTTTGATTGTGTGTTTGTTGGGACACAAGAACCATGGCAGCAGCAGCACGTAGAGGAAGTACACCAGCGACAGAAGATTGTAGCGAAAAAGACAAGCTGCAAAGACAGAAATACAACAAGAGTCAAGCAACAGAATTCATTCAGAGAGGCACAGAGGTTCTAGCATGTTTGACGTGTCGACTGAGGGGCCTGCCTTTTATACCCGCAACTCCCCAGACATGTAATTGTGATAGAAATGAATGAACTTTCCATACAACACAAACGATTCCATAACATGACATGAGACCAGAGGGAAATATTTTTAAAGCATTGCTCTCTGGTTTCTGTTAACTATGAACAAACTTAACCGCAGAAATCTCAGTGCTTATGTGCACATCAGACTTGGTTTGATTAATTATTCTGCCAATCAGCAGGTTTGTCGGACATGGGCACACTGAAAACACACACACACACACACACTCTCATGAAAAACTGGAGATGAATGAAAACTTGTCTCTCCATCAGTATGTCTGTTCCCCTTGTTTGGATCGTGTCCCTGAGTTTGGACTTTGTTTGGCTTTTTTGGATTTCTGCTTCTTGTTTTCTTACTTTGGACTATTAGCTCAGCCTGGACTGAGTTTTCGTGTTTTCAACCTGTTTGTGACAGCAGATGCTAATCTGCAGGTGAAGGAGCATATGGGTGTGTCCGACCATTAGTTGCAGTTTAGTTTTGGCATTGCCAAATACTGGACAAATCCAGTACACTGTGGGAAAGACGCTGAATTAGTAGGAGGAGTACACTGTCAGCAGCTGGGAGCCGGGGTGGGCGTCAGCAATGGCCAACGAATCAGCTGCTCTCATCCCTTTTAAATGCAGCAGTGGAGGGGAAGAGGCTGACGTCTCTGAGAGAGAGAAAAAGTTCAACTGAAGAAAAGAAAATGTGCTGTCTTATCTCCTCCTGACAAACACATGCAGAGATAGCTATTAGCTCATCTCGGGTTACGGTCAGGATTAATGTCAGCCTGTATGCAGGTGAGACATTTACTACACAGTGTTTGTCTGCCCCTCCATTTTCAACTTTCAACAACAGCACCTCACCCAAAGCTCCTCTGCACATCTTACAAGTTACATAACTCAAGGATTGTGAAAGTCCAGGGATGATATCTATTTCATCCTCATCACAGATGAAGATGACAAGGAGTACAGAGAACTGATCCAGGATTTTATGGACTGGTGTCTGTGAAACTGCCTCCAGATCAATGCAGGGAAGACCAAAGAGCTGGTGATGGATTTCTACAGGAGCAGACACCCCCCTCTGACATCAGTGAACTTCCAAGGAAAGGACACAGAGAGTGGACTCTTACCTGGGTGTTCACCTAAGCAATAAACTGGACTGCTCAAGCAACACTGAGGCCCTTTACAAGAAAGACCAGAGCAGACTCTACCTGCTGAGGAGACTAAGATTGTTTGGAGTGCAGCAGCATCTTTACCACAGACAGGAAAAGACTAGACTAACTGGTCAAGAGGGCCGACTCTGTCCTGGGAAGTCCCCTTGACCCCCCCCTTCTGGACACTGCCTCCCACCTCGTGCATGAGACTCTGACAGACCTGTGCAGCCCCATCAGTGACAGACTGCTTCACCCCAGGCGCATGATGGAGTGCTATCGCAGGTCTTTCCTTCTTGCTGCTGTCAGACTGTACAACCAGTACTGCTCCCAGTAGATGCCCCTCGCCCCAGTTGACCCTCACATACCTACAGACTGTAAAACTGGAAACACTCAGCCCTTTGCTGCTGTAGCTTTCCCTGTTGTGGGACTAATAAAGGTTGACCTTATCTTATCTTATCTTATCTTATCACAGTTACAACAGTAAACACCACATGGACTCAGCTGGAGCAAATCCCAGTCTAAATGCATTTGTAGAAGTCTAAAATGTCATTTGAGATGGTCAGGTACAACCCTTTATTTATTAATGGGGTTTGACAGAACAATTACTTGCACAATACCTGAGACAGACAATGAATCAAACACTAAAGTGTGCTGTTATTTCCACATCAGAGGCCATAAATATCATGTCTCCTACCTGGCTGCCTTTTGAATGTCTTCATCTCTTTACTTCTGTAGCTGTGTCTCTCTTTGTTTCATTAAAACTGATTCATGAGTTCCTAGATACACAGGACTTTTATTACTCTGGGCACTCAACAATGTACTGTAAACATTTACACACAATAGACACAAAGGGGTATTGTTGAGTATCCACCTAACTGTAAGTATTTTGATGAAATCATTAAGGCCAAAGGTTGTTCTGGTGTAACCTGTGAGGCAGCACTGACTAAACAAACCCAGCCCTGACAATCCACAACTAAAACCCCAGAATACCACAGCTGCTCTGTACTGCTCCAGGCCCTGGCCTAGAATGTCACCGACACGGCCCTTCCTCTTTGTCTCTCTCTTAAAGTTAGTTTGTTTGATGGAAATTCAACAAATCACTAAAATTCTACCAGTATTTCAACTGCTATTACAAAGCCAGGTCAAATCAAGCAACATCCCCACTTCCTGACTAATCTTATGACTGAGGGCCTTTGTTTTCCACTAAGTGCTCTCCTGGGTCACAGCCTCCTCTCAGCCTGTGTTTGGCTCTGCCAACTGAAATCCTGGCAAACTATTTAAAACCTCCTACATAAATTTAACACGCAATCTATTCTGCCAACTCCCTGAGACACCTGGGAATACATACTACATGCAGTATCTTTAGACTAAGCAAATGTCAGTAAAACAATAAGCCCATAGGAAAACTGTGCAGGCTAGCGACCTGCACACACTACCAGCTTACAGACCCTTACATCAGTGCAAACCAAGCACTCACGTGTTAAAAGTTAATGTACTGAAATGTCAACATTTAGTTTGACTTCAGTGTTTTTGACAAAGCCCCTGTAGAGCTACTGCAGACATGAGTCTGTAGGATCCTACAGGACAAGTAAACCTACAGTATCTAGTAGTCACTCGTTCAGCAATACACCATCAGAACAGTTGTGGGTACATCTTTAATTTAGATTGTGTGCCAGAACTATTTGAAAAAGCTAAAACAAAACAAAACAAAAAAAACTCAAGTACTTAGTTTGATAATGACACAAACATGGTTTTCTTTTTTGGAATATGTCCATGAAGTTCAGCTCAACTGTGCTGCAGTGGCGACAAAACCCGTTACATACAGTAGATGATTAAAACCAAAACACTCTGTGAAGAAATATAACAGTAGAGGGAAAGGATCCTTTCATTTTCTTGGCTTGGCTCTGATGCTGAAGTGAGACGCTTTAGTCATTAGATAATTAGTCCCTGTTAACCACCGCAGTGGACAGTGTGGCCTTGAAAGGGACAAAGCATTTCCTCTCTTCCATATGTGAGTCATGCTACCGGTCATCCGACATGGTGGTGAAATACCAAGTCACTCTCTGTGCTTTGGGTGTACATGTTGTATCCTGTGAGCTACTGCACTTTGCCACAGCGAAGTAGCTCACATAGCCCATTGTTCTCAAACAGAATCACTGTAAGACTATCCCAACATCGCTGTACAGTGATGTCATCCCTTAGATCTCCGTGTATGCAAGAAACACCTAAATTAATTAACTCTTTAAGCTTTAGACAGGTTTTTGGAATTTCTGCCTGTAAAAACACAACCCAAATCCAACGGGCTCCGCAACTATAAGGTGGCAACACATGCATTTACAATAGCAACAATGCCCTGGACGGAATTTGCTTGATCTCCAAATGTTTTTGTTGCTGCCTCAGGCGATTTCTTACTAATTATTACAAATATTCACATCAATTATCACAGAAATCTGGCCAAGATCCTTCACACAGCTTTCAATGGACCAAAGTGACAAAAAGGTGAGGAATTCCCTGAAGAGCACAGATCTAACAGCAAACTGACTGATGCTTGTTGGACTGATGGAACTGACCAGCATCACAGTCCTACAGAACTACTTACAAAACCGGGAGTCAATTAACCTATAGTCAATCAGTTGGTACCAAAGTCTTTATTAGTGATTACATTTTTGAAAAAAATGAGCATAATTTTATACAATAGCAATGTTTTTCCTCATTCTGTCTCATCTTGTGACCCCACAACAGTGTCTCACATCTCACACTGACACACAAGGTAAAATATAATTTACTTTTTATTGGCCACTCCACAGCTCATGTTGTAAGTTGTAAATTAAAAAAACATTTTGACGGTTTGCTCAGGCCAAACCAAAGATCGGTACGAGGTGCAGGTTATATACGACTTGTAGTGAGCCTGGATCAGCTCTAATCCCCGTCCTACAGATGGACGTCTATAATAAAACGGACTCTCAGAGCAGCACATTATTGTCCTCAGCTACAACATCAGTCCCCACGTAGAGAAGAAGCCGAATGTCACAGAGCTCCACCCCACTGCCCAGTTAATCATCAAACACACCCAAATGAGGCTTATGGCCAGATATGATAACACTGTTCAGTCACTGCAGCACCTCTCTTTACAACAACTCTGTCCAGTCATGTTTCCTCTGCATGTCTGATATTCAGCTGCTGAGCATTTCCTTTTGTTCCAAATCTGATGCAAAAGCTACTCCACTTTAATTTGTTTGTTTTCACATCTCTCCTGTTTAGCAGGTGGCAGTAGGACATGTTGCTCAGATCTCTGCCTCTCCCCTGAGGCCAGTTTCTGCTAAATGCTTCTTAATTAATAAAACTCTCAGAGTGTACAACTCAGAAAGTGTTGATTCAATGTCCCAAGCTGTCACCATCCTCTGCACTGAACAAACGTGAACATGACATTTATCCACAAAACTGAGTGCAGTTAGTCTTAAATTTCCAGATCGTGTATGTATGCACCCTAAGCACCTTCTCAGTTGGTGTGATCAGTCTTTTCACCAAGTGAATGTGCCATCAAGTCACTGGTGAACTATTAAATCATCTTTGCTAGTTTTATCAGCTCATGGCCATCCAGGAAGCGAAGTCATTTTAAGCTGCGTTTCCACATCAGAACCTAACGAGCAGTATGCCCCATGCTTCTCATAACCGTCACCTGGAATAACCTCACTGTTTTACCCCAGTCTCTGTTTAGACAAGAGTGGG